CCGTGCGCTGAGCCTTGGGGCCAGCGTCGGGCGTTTAAAATATAAACCCGTATTTCTCAGCCGCCGTTATTTATGCAGAGTCCGGGCATCGTGTTGTGGTTTTGGCAGCAGTCAGAATACAAGGAGGGTTGGAAGAAAAATGTGCCCCAGTGAGGGGGTTTCTTATACACCCCTGGATAGTAAAAATATGTATTTAAAAGATGAACAAGTACTCAAATCCCTTTAGGAAAAACAAGTAACTACTTAAATCTTGACAATATAGCAGAATAAAAGCTGTGCTAGTTGACGTTTGGAAACATTAACCTTCTTTTACTAAACTGATTAATTTCTTGGAGTGTGACTCCAAGTCTTTCTTGCGTGTTTTATTTTGGGATGCATCCAAATTGCTCAGATGAGGAATGGCTAACAGGGCATTAATGAAAAGCCACGTAGAAACAAAAAAGTTCTTGGGCACTATCAAGTCATGGAAAAACTTCTTACCACGGAGACATTTTTTGTCAGAGATGTGGAGACAAATTTGGCATTTTTTCTTTTTTAAGAATAAATAACTTGGCATCAAGAAAACATGAGAGAGAGAATACAAATTCGTGATGGGGCATGATTTGCCTGAAAGCAAAGATGATTTCTGAATGAAGCCGAAATGAAAACACAAAGTGCAGAAAGAGCACAAGTCGTGTGGGGACTTGCTTAGAAGCTGGGTAAGAGGGGCAACACTCTTACCTGAATTCTGGTAACAGCTGCCTTTTCTGATGCGAAAGCTATGCCTGTATGGAGACATTCATTAAGGTTAAGCCAAATTAACAAAGTATGCAAAAAATATGCAAGTTAAAATGATGAAAGACTTGTATGCATAAAGTGAAGACAAGGGATAAACTAAAAAAGACTAAGATCGTTTCTGAAAGCAGTTGCACAGAAGTTTAATGTGTTTTAACTTTTGCATTGAAAAATTTTTGCTTTTACTCATTGTGGTTTTTTTTAATATATATATTTTTATCCCATAGTGATTTGCAAAGAGATAGTTGAACCAGCAACAGGGAAAGAATGAGATGTGTTACCAAGAAACAGGGAATTCTAGTGAAGCTGGGCTATTGGAGCCCTGGAGAAGGGTAGGCTTGGGAAAAATGAAAGTTACTCTTGTTCCTTTGAGGGACCTCCAAATTAGTGATCCAGATACTGCACTTTCGCGGGGATACTGCCCTTAGCAAAGCAAATCAAAGCGCAGACAAGCTGGATTACATTTTTCCTACTCTAAAAAAAAAAAAAAAAGTCAAGGTGAGGTTCTGTTTGTATAGAGATGTGCAAAAAATGTGTCTGTAACAGGGAGTAGCCTGAGTCTTCAACATCTCTGACTGATTGACGTGAGAACTGAGAGTGGGCTGTGTCTGTACGTGTCTGACAGAGGAGATAAGATAAATGACACTTTGACCTATCTTTAATGTGGTCTTGTTTACAACATTTACTGGTCCTGATGTTTATATTAATAATACAATTTCATCTGCCTGTTCTGTCATTTCCTTAAAATAATTTAGTATCTTGTTTCCTAACTGTTACACACTTAAGATTTTTATTATTTAATTGACTATCTTATGACTAAGGTGCACAGGTCTGCCTTATGTTTCAGTTCATATTCTGTGATCTTTTTGGAGCTTTTTCTCAAGTCACTTTTATTACAGTAGGAAAAAATTACCATTGAAGTAATGATGTTCCAATTCAGTGAAAGATCACATTTGTCTGCATTTAGTCATATATACTAACTACATTTCTTCTTCCATCCTCTCCCCACGAGTGGCTGTTCAAATGATTAAAATAGTCTATTAGTGATACTTATATTAGTGTATCAGTAGCAATTCAAGACATATAAACAAATGCCAGTCATTGTTTTTAATCTGTGACTGTTTACCATTATAGTATCTAATAATACAGTATGCATTCTTCAGTGTCACCAGATGAGATTATTGTAGAAAACCCAGTAAGCTCAGACTGCAGAACTACAGAAGCAAACAAATGCACATGCCCCACCATGTATAATGTTTCAAGCTGCTTCATTTATGAAGTCAGACTCATTAGCTGGGCAATGTACGGTAGCTTTCTTTTTAATTACACACTTTTATTATACAGGGGAATTATTTTTCAGAATGCAACTGTATTCACAGACTGACCTTTTATTATAAGAGAAGTTTCTGTCTAATGAAGAGAGGTGATTATAGCACAAAATAGACTTTTGACATGTAGAAAGCTGTTGTTACCAGGACTTGTTATTGTTACCTGGAGTATTGTGTCCAGTTCTGGGCTCCCCAGTACAGGAAGGACATGGAACTCCTGGAGCATGTCCAGCAAAGGGTGACTAAGATGATTAAAGGACTGGAGCATCTTTCATGTGAGGAAAGGCTGAGAGAGCTGGGCCTGTTCAACATGAAGAAAAGACGACTCAGAGGGGATCTGATTAATTTTTTTATAAATATCTAAAGGGAGAGTGTCTAGAGGATGGGGCCAGATTCTTCTCATTGGCACCCAGCAGTAGGACGAGAGGCATAAACTGCAGCATAGGAAGTTCTACCTGAACATAAGAAAGAACTTCTTTACTGTGAGGGTGACTGAGCACTGGAACAGGCTGCCCAGAGAGGCTGTGGAATCTCCCTCCCTGGAGATATTCAAAAACCATCTGGACAAAATCCTGGTCCATGTGCTCTAGGAGTCCCTGTTGAGCAGGGTGGTTGGACTAGATGACCTTCAGAGGTCCCTTCCAACCTCAACCATTCTGTGATACTGTGACTTCCCTAGTGTAGAATGTTATTTAAAAGAGAACTTTACTTATATATTTTAAAAATTAGAGATTTGTGTGTAAGTAGCAGTGATGTTGAGAGACAAACTAAGAAAAGCAGCGCTTGCAGCTATCCTTGCTCTGTAGTTCCCACAGTAGGTTGCATAGTATATGTTGCACCCGACAGAAGGGGTTTGTGATAAGGAAATTAATATGGAGAGGAGTCACTATCTGACCTTCTACCCAGTGCTTTTTAGTTTTGTTCCTTTATTGTCTCTTTATTAGGATGTGTGACTACCTTCCAGCCAGCACAGAAATTAGCCTTGACCTTTGCATGCCTAAATACGAGAGAGGATTTTGCTTGAAATCTGAAGCATGATAATTGTGAGGGGCATTTGTTCTGACCACCACACAGAACAGCTCACACAGCAGGATTTAAGTGTGATAAATACCCTTGCCCCAGGTGGCTGATTTTTGCAGTAGAATTAAGTGTAGTGGTAGAGTTTGCACTAGAGTTTGCTAGTTACTCCAGCTCTGAATCCTTTCACCGTACTTTTACTCTCTGACAGACATGTCTTGTTAAAATAAGAAATCTGTAAGATTTTGAATATTTACATTATTTCATTTACTTAAATAGGCTATGTGGGTATGCATTTTCCCACACTGAGAGCCTGAACTCCTTTAGGTTGTTACTGGAGAAGAGCACAAGCATTCTGTGCTGGGACAAGAGATCCTTAGGATCCTCTCCTTAGGATCTCTGTCTCCTTAGAAGCTCGCTGTCTCTAGGAGGAAAAAGAAATGCTGTGATTGACTATTTCCACAATGTGAACAGGAAAGAGTTGAAGTAATAGTCAGGACAGAGGTGGCAGGCAATGCAGTCTCCCAAGCAGTCACAGAAACAGTTCGTTAAATGCAAATACAACCTTGGATACAAAGTGGAGGCTTTTCTTTGGTTATCCCACAAGCAAATAATGTGGCTGAATTTATTGTCTGAATCATTTTCCTGTACGTTGTAGTATACACCCATGCATTTTTAGTGCAAAACTTGTTAAGCTCTTTTCCAAGAGCAGGTCAGTTCATGAGTTTAAAAGATGCTGTCCATTGGAAAGCGTGTCAAAGGAAACCACTTTGTTAGGGGCTGAGGTACACACAATGCAACCCAGTAAAGATGGTATCTGAAGCTTCTTAGAGTACTGCCTTCTCTTCCTGCCTTTCTTACTTTTCATATCTTTGCATGGATGGTGAGAAGCAGAAAAAAGTAAACCAAATCCTTTTATTAACTGTTTTTAACTTGAAAAGTTTGTATTTGTAACCATTTGAGGGCTAGGTCATATCATGGTTCATATTCTTACTCTTATGTCTTCACCTACAGAAACAGGAAGGTAAGTGGGAAAAACGCCTCAGTGCTGCTTCTGTGCATTTTGAGTGTAAGTCTAAATAATATTTATAGCCAAGTTACAAACCCAGGCAAATGGGCTTCTTTAGACTGCCTGTATTGTTTTGCTAATGATTGTCCCATTTCCAGTTCTTAGTGCAGTTTCTTTATGGATAAGATCATGTTTCATGATGTAGAGGGAAAAGATGGCATTTTTGTTTTGAAAATGTTATTCTATGGCATTTTATTCTTTTAAATGTTATTTTTCTTCAGCTGAAGATATTGTGGTTATTTTCAAGTATAAACGTTGCCAGTTGTTCTTAAAGCTCTGAAAGGCTTTGCATTTGGTAATTAAATGAACTGCTTGAGTTAGTATTGTACTTTTCAGCCTTTCACATTTAATTAACATTCAAGTGGGAATTATGAACAATTTATATCTGTCAGGAAAAGACAAGATGTAACAAATTGTCTCTGTGCAGATGTGAAATTGAGGCAACCTTAGAGAGACTAAAGAAACTGGAGCGTGATCTGAGCTTTAAAGAGCAGGAACTAAAGGAACGGGAGCGACGTTTGAGGATGTGGGAGCAGAAATTAACTGAACAGTCCAATACTCCTGTAAGTAGACAATAATTCAACCTTTCATCTTACTTTAGAAAGTATTTGGAAATTTGTCTATGTGGATCTAGAGACACACCAACAAAACAGTGCCCCTGTTTTCTTTAATTGTTCCTTTGGGACAATTAAAGTCTATTTTACCACATTACTGCAAATAACTATACTATTTTTTTTATTTCATCTAATACATTAGGTAGATATCAGACATTGCTGGTAGTTCATATTGTGCCGTGCGCACTTCAGTAGTTTCCTATTGATTTGCAGTTCCCAGCTTTAAAAGTTGATTGCATTCAATAAATTCATTTTTCAACTAGAAAGTTGTTGACTTTAATGGATGCAGGATTTGGTCTTAAACATAAGAATAATTTGTTTCTTGCAGAAGAAGGCTTGAGAAACCTATGTAAGTTCTTTTTATTCTGTTATTTTTCTTTGAGAAGAAGCAAATTTCCCTTCTGTGAAAAAAGAGGGTCAAAGTTTGAGGTGTTAATTTCGGGCTTTCTTCATAACTATAGTTAGCATACTTCTACTGGCCAGTTATTAGCCATTAGGATTGCCACATTTCTATTAATAAATTGAATAAAAGAGTTTCCTTGGATTATCTTGAATTTCTTAATGAAATACAATGCTCTTGACTAGTGATTGGGAGAGGGAGGACCACAGGGTTAGTGCATGACTGGACATATTACAGCAGAACTGTTGTTAAGAAAAATACCACATTACCTACTTGTTTTTAAACACTACCCAAAAGAAATGCCCAATTGAGATTGCAGTAGTGTATGATTTTTCTTGTCCACAATTTCATCCTAATAATAACCTTCATTCCAGCCAGACCTATTTACATACAACTTGTTTTTAAGGCATAGCTTATTGCTATTGTTTGACTGAAGTTGCATTCATGTTCCAGCTGTGGACATGCAGTAATAAAATAATGAAGAATGTATGTTTTCCTATGTGCAGATACTGTGTGTTCTCAGTGGATAACTGTATGCCTGCTTTAACGCTTGCAAACTTCCAGTAACTGAGCTGTGAGCCATCATCTGTCCTGAGCACAGCATGAGACACAGCCTTAATGAGCAAATCTTTTCACGAGCAAGGCCCTAGGGTTTTTTATGCTGTACTTGCTTATGACTTCTACTTTTCACTTAGAACTGCCATTGCTGAAAGAATAAAGCATTGTGCTAAGGCCTATTGTGCTAAGCATGAACTATCTTTCTGCATAACATTAACCCAACTCTCCTATTGCATTTAAATGCAATTTCTTCTAATAGAGAAATATAGTTTTGTTTTTTCCATAGAGCTTTAGTGAACTTGCATGGAACAGCTTTTTTAAAAAGCCCTTTTGTCGGAAAAAAAATTGATATATTGGCAAAAATTAGCTTGTTCAAGCAGGATTGTTTTTTTTCATAGCAAATGAAGTTCTACCAGGAACTGATTACAAATACAACTATATTTTAACTTCATAGCTGTAAATCATTTGCAAAATACCCCTGGGCATTCTGTTTGCAAGCTGTAGTCCTTGGAGTCAAGTGTCTCCCTCCGTCCCTTGGTTCAGGGTATGTCTGCTCGGCAGTATCAGACTGGAGGATTGCAACAGGGAGGTTCACTGCTCAATTTTAACCTACCTGGGCTGTGAAAACAGTAGTAAAGATATGGCGACCAGAGCTAATAACACAGCTTAGGGTGCCCTCTAGGCTTATACCTGGCTCTTAACCAACACTAGGCCTTGTTGTGTCTTAGTTGGTACTGTCATCCCCGCGCTGCAGTCACTTCTTCGTTTTGGTCTGCAGCAAAGACCAGAGACCAGTAGATACTATTAAAGTGGTGTGAAGGAGCAGAATCTCAAACCAAGTGAAAGGAGAACAGGAAAGCTCTCTGCCACTTAATTCTCCAGTGTTTTAGGGTAGTTAGAAGCATCATCCTGCCATCCTGCATGGTAGGTAGCTATGAGTGGCAGGCTGCTCTTACTCCAAAGAATAAAGTATAGCTTTACACACATCAGCATGAGAGAAGGATGAGACCAATCTTGACTTCTGTGAAGGTATTATTTCTCCCTGCTCTTGTTTCGATCCTGTTTCTGCTGTGTCTTATACAACAGACACCTTGGAGTCTGATGTCTGCAGATTCCCTTTTTGTGCAGATCTCCAAGAGCCTCTTGCACAAAGTAATCTGGAGCCTTTTGGAGGAGTTTTGAAAGAGGACCTGACTTTAAGAAAGGAGTGTATGTAGCAAAGCTGAAGCTCATATTTAGAGAAAGACAGAGATAAAGATATGAAATCCAGATTTTCACCTATGGTGCTATGCACCTGGTGGTGGTCACTTAAGAAGAACAGTGGCTTGTACGAAGTTTGGGGATCCCAGCCATCTATAAAAGTCTCTTCATGATAGCTATCATATGCAGTGTGACACCAAAGGCAGGTCCTGTCACGAAGAGCTCCTGAGTTCTTCAGATAACAAGATGGCAAAATACGGAGTAAGTAAGGTGATTGTAACTCACAAAGTGAGCCACAGTTATGGTTTGTTTGCAGCTTACCCACTGCTGGGCATTCCACAAACACTGACCCAGAAACATGTTTTAGAGGAAAGCTGTTCTGCAGCTTTGTTGATTTTTATGGGGAATTCTTCCCATATGTGAGGGGATGATTTTCCATGTATCTGAAGTGACTAAAACTCCAATAGCTGACGGAAGAACTACCTGGCACTGTACAGAAGCATAGCTGCAGGTTCTTTCATCAATTAGCCATAGGACACACGAAGATTATTTAGGACACCTTGTCTTCCCAACTTCTTAATTTTATTTTCATTTCTTAAACCATGATCATTAACTTTTTTTAACCACAACACAAATAGAAAGCCTATCTAAGTAGGAAAAACTCAAGAGGAACAAAAGACAGGTATTGTCCTTTTTAATGATAGACAATTCATCAATATAAGTCATTTTGGCACCCTGAGCAGCCTGGCCATGGAGCCTCCTGTGTTGCAGACCAGGACATCACCATAATCACTACCGTAACCCATTGTGACCAACTGCTGTTGACACTTCAGTCAGTTTTCTAATGAGGTTAAAAAAGATGTGGGAAACCATGAATTTTGGGCATGTAGTTCTGCAAACAGCTTTGGAAAGAAAGGCCAGTTCAGATGTTCACACACAGCTCCTTTGCTGTTGCTTTAGTAAGTAGTTTAATTTGGCATGAAACTCCTGAGTTTTTACTCCCTGTGGAGAACAGGCAAGCATGTCACAGAGGTTACTGGCCCAGCCACTCAGAAGAGGCATTAATCATTATTTAGCTGGAGAGGGCACATTTCATTTGTTATTACAAACAGACTGGGTCAGGAAAACACCATTATCTGTAGGTGAAGATTAAATCAGTAGAGATTTAATATGATGTACAACCAAGTGGCAGATCTCTATTGATATCACTACCAAAAAAAAACCAAAACAAAAAAGCAGCAGCTGACCAGCCGACCAAACAGCCCATCTTCCCCTGGCTGCTCCTCCCTGGGACAGCTTCTAGAATCACGGTGCTGGTGCAGGATGGAGGCCAGTTCCCCTGTCCTTTGCATTGGTGAGAGGCTCGCTTGTGATGGCTGATGCAGGGTAACCCCTTCCTCTGCTTTTGAGCAGTCTTTGCACAAATAATACTGCTGCTGTTATTTCTGATATTTAGAGGGCTGCTACTTCTGCACCAAACTTTGGGAGCTTGTTTGGGTTCTCTGATCTTGATGTGATTTATTCTTCAATCCTGAAAGGTACAATTAAACAACTCAGACTTCTCTTGTACACACATTGCCTTGGGAGCCAGTCCACCTGGCTGGGAAATGTCACATTCTGTTTTACGCTGTACAAAATGAAGGATTTAAGAGTTTTAACCTTCTTTTGTCATGAAAGCTCTGCTACCTGTGGTTCTTGCCATGTGACCTAGTGATTTTGCACTTTCATTTAAGAACTATGACCCCAGAATGAAGCTGTCTGGTTTAATGAGTTCTTACTTGATCTCCATGTTTAGATTCACTAATCGTTGTGCTTTCTGTTGATGAACAACTAATCTGGTGGTGTCTTTCCTCAATTTTTAAATTGGTTCTAACTTTCACTTTTGCTCTGTCCTTTCCTCCTTTAAATAGTTTTTCTTACCTCTTGCTGCAAGAATGTCTGAGGAGTCTTACTTTGAATCTAAAACAGAGGAGTCAAACAGTGCAGAGATGTCATGTCAGATCACAGCAACAAGTAACGGGGAGGTAGCTGGCATGAACCAAAGTCTGAAGGCCTTGATGATGACGGGCTTTGGGGATATCTTCTCTCTGAACCAAGCAGGATCTGTCCTGCATTCTGGAATGCAGATAAACATGCAAGCCAAAAAGAATTCTTCTAAAACCACCTCTATGAGAAAAGGAAAGAAAATCAACATGGCTTTGGGTTTCAGTGAATTCGACTGGTCAGATGACGATGATGATGATGATGATGATGATGATTTTGATGACACAGATGATAGCAGCGAATGAAATAAGTTATAGAATTAACCCTGAAATTGGTTTTAGCAAAGCAAAACAATAAAGTTTTAGAACAAGAATCCTGTCAGTTTGGTCTGTTTAAATCCTGTAAAAGAAGAAAAAAAAAATAACAAACAACTGAGACCTTTTCCAGGCTGAGCATCTTTGTGTGTAGAAGGACACATTGTTTTTGTTTAGATTGTGCTGACTTACTTTGGCTTTGATGAACTTTGGAACTAAACTTTCCAAACTAATTGAGATTATTATTATTTTAAGAACTGTGATTATATCTATAATTCTTGATGCCTGATTACAGAAACTATGGCTTGATAACCTTAAGATCTGAAAACGTTGGGGGAAACTTCAATGCCACTAATGCCATTAATGTACTTCAAATTTTTCTTCTGTGTTTTTTGTCATTTCCCTTACCCTTTTAATTGTCAATCATATAGATATGCTTGTACTTCCGGATTTGCTATTCTGTACAACCCATTCTTTCTTACTGTTGCAGTGAA